ACGATGTGCAACGTGATCGGATGCAAATTTTCAGTCTGGATGGCTGACAGCAACCCTCGAATTCCAGAGTTGCGGGGACGAGCACGTCCCGCGATTTTGCCGGCTACATCTGCAGGAAACTCGATTACACGGTGGAAGGATGCTCACGGTCCACAATGCTCATTGAATTTGTCGAACGGGAATTATATATTGCGCGGGGGTTCGACTCGTTTGTTCGTGGGCGCTCGCGCTTTCGGAGGAGATCCGGTCGCGCGCGGGTGAGACGCGAATGCATTATAATAAAATCGCGATCACGATCGGCCGCGCGAAAACGAACGGAATGGCGAGTGAAAAAGGAGGAACTCGTCGGGAGCGGCGCGTGAATCGACCGGCGCATTATATTCGGATAAAATGATTTTATCGATCGTAAATGCACCGGCGCGACGCCAAGCTTATGAACGCTCAGATTTATGTATATCCGCTCGCACGATCGCGCGAGCTCGAGCTTTTTCTGCTGGTGCAACGAAATTGTTTTGAAAAAAGGTGGACGTAACGAAGGTTCGGAGAGAAAGAGAGAGATAGGTCAATGCCCCGTAAAATTTTATAACTCTATCACCGGGAGGAAAGGAGAAAGGGTAATGTCCCAGAACAGGACGTTGATTGGCTTTTTTATGCTCGGTTAGACATGTCAGATAATTTCAAACAGATCGAGTTGGAGGTAATATAAGTCTTATAAATCACAAAAAGAATGAACTTTCGGAAGAGAAGCGACAAAAAATTGAAAAAGATTTCCATAATTCAGGTATAACACTGAGTTGTATTAACTCGTTGGTCGCGAAGCTTTTCGTACAATTGTTATGTTGCTTATACGACGACAGATTTTAGATGTGGAACGATGCATGTTACTTTTATTTTATCATCTGTATCGTCGCTCCCTAATAAGCGTGCATTTTGTGGAATGCCTATAACGGCTGTTTTCTCTGATACAACGGCAACGATTCGCATTAGGGAGACTAGTCCGTGGTAATTCGCTGCAGAGGCAAAAATTGATTACCGATTGGATTGCGAGGTCAGATCCTCATTAACTGCGTTCCCGGCGCAGGAAGGGATAATTACGCAAATAACCTAACGCTGTAGGTCTCACGTAGCGGTTCGATCCGATAAAAATAATTACATCGTGATTACTCCACTCGATATATTGATTGAAATTCTCATTAGATACACGTGTTAAGCAACGGATCTCCAGCAACTTAGTAATAACAATAAATTTCGATAACGTAACGATTAGTAATAATGCAACGCCATTCTCTTAAGCATCTCATATATTTCAATCTCTCTCCTGCCTCCCTCGTCGACGGAAATTATATTTCACCTCTCGCGCACTCTCGTTCGATTTCTAATTAAAACGGACCTTTTACGGCAACTCACCTGCCCCTCGCTCCCCCGCGATACGTTTTCTAACGCGTAATCATTACGAGGCTACCTTTTCGATTTCCCGTAATGCGACGCGAACGCCGAGGCCTCGCATTAGCGTGTCGGCTCTCTAGTACGGTATAGTACGGCGGCGAAATTGATTACCAATACTACTGCGAGTACGACGGCGGCTCTCGCGCTCCCGTGTCCGGGCAGTAATGATGTTTTGATGCGAGGACCCCGGTGCACTGCGTATCGACTGCAGTTAACTAATGGAAGCTCCCCGATAATTGCGAATGCCGTCGGAGAGTAAATGCCGCTAGCGCGACAGTAATCATCGTTATTCCGTCCACGCACTCGCGCAACGATGAGGTAGGTTCTTTTCACTCGCGCTTTTTGCTCCCCGCCATGTCATTCCGGAAAGATTTCTCCCAGATAATCTATCGAGATATATATCTTTCTCTGCAGGAAAATTATTTTTCTGGTTTTTTTTCGGGGAGCCGAAGATGCTTGATGGTTAATGAGATTCACCGCGTCGCGCGTCGGTTGAAAAAGGATCGCAAAGAAAGAGGCAATGCAGGAACACAAGGTATAACTTTTTTAGATACGAGAGAAAGGTATCGCAAAATTATTATCGCGACGTAAATTTATTGTCCGGATATTTACACATCTTGAGCAAAAATTTTATGATTTTTCGGAGAAAAACTTGTAGAAAAAATTTTATGACGAGCGTAAGTCAAGTCCGGAGCCTCTCGCTATCATCCTTAAAACGTCTCTTCCGAAACGCCATTCCGAGGTCGAGTCGATATATGCTGTTTGTATCGCGCGTATAAGCAAATACAAGCACATTATTCATGTATGCGCCCGAAGTGCACTAAATTTAGTCACGGCACGGGAGGTCATGTGGGAGACACACGCGCCCCAGCCCGGCGCTGCGTTTTATGCCTTTTTCTCGCAGAAATGTGTCATATGTCGTTGGCTCCCCCTTTCCTCGTAAAAAGTAACGGCGATACCGAGGTAAGCCCGGAACGTCAGCGATTTGTCAATAATTCTCGCGCGTCGCTCTTCGAAATTCCGTTTAGAACTCACCCGGCGATTTCCGAGACGCTCATTCAATTCGTTCACTCGGCGTTCGATTTACTTTGCCAGTTATTAATGGTTTTTCATTTCGAAATGACGATTAAAAAAAATTATCCGTTTTATTAGAAAGCGGAAGAGTGAAAAGAAAATATTTTATCCTTTTCAATCAGGAGTAAAAGCAAAAGTTTGTATCGTTTCTGTTTCAAAATAATCGATTTAATAATATCTCGTTTTGCGCAAAGTTAAAATATGCGAATGGCGATGATGAAGCAACCCTGCTTGTTCTCCGACCCTTCTATACATCGAAACGCATTCAAGCTTTCCCAGCCACAGGTCCGTTTCATAATGTGCTGCGAAAATGCCCCTCCCTCCTTCGAAGATTCATAATCAAAACTGCATTAAAATCCTGAAAGCCCTGACGATGGCGCGACGAAAAGTGTTTTGTCATCTGGGGTGACTTGGCAACCACCTCGATAACAATATGCTCACCTCGTTTGCGATCCCTCTCGTTGCCACGAGAAGCGTACTCTTCCCCTCGCCCACTCGCCCACGATTCGCGATCGATTAAGTGACGATTATTTCATCGACGGTTATGTTCTCGTGTTTCATGCTGATCAATATCTTAGGTTCTCTAACAATTTTCTAACATTAAAATTTTCTAACATTAAAATTTTTATTGCTCTTCCACTAGATTCATTAATGGAAAACAAAGTTATTATAATTTTATCATAATAAGATGATTTAAATTCTGAATCTTTTTGTTAACATTTTTAATAACATTTTTATTAAATGTAAGAAAGAAATATACGTAAAATTATACGTAAAAAAAATTTTATCGCATCTCCGCAACATGGCTGGCTTAAGTTTCCGACGGTGAAGATATTTTCGTTTATTTTCGCCAGGGTCGAACTCTTCGAGAGAGAGTTTGGGCAGTCGCTCACCGTTTCCGTCCTTCTCTGCACATCTCTCTCTCTCTCTCTCTCTCTCTCTTTCTCTCGGTTCGGTTAGGGGATGGCGCGCCATTGTTCGGGCGATATTTCAGCGGCGGCGGTGAAAGAGCGGGGGTGGTCGGCAGTAGTCAGCTGGCTGTGACACGCTGCCTACCTCGCCAAAGAGGCGCTTAGGAGTATCCGGGAGCTAGAGAGGGAGTCCCTCGGCTTCATAGTCGCCCGGTGATACTCTTTCATCTAACGATAGCCGAGGCCTTGACTTTGAACTATCGTCGCATTGTATATCTGGTACCGCAAAGCTTTATTTTGCATATATTATTATTTTGTACTTTATTATGTTGGTTGCTCTTGTCTGAGCGTTTTACGTGACTTTTGCCTGAATAAATGTTCTCTTCTTTATACTTTTTCAAAAGAAAGTTTTAAATAGAGTTGAAAGAATTTATAATTTTTCCTTTTTCAAAGAACGCTGTTTTATTATAATTCCATAATCATTATCGAATACAAAATCTAGAGTCATTTATCGCGTCATTTATATCTGAAATATCCATTCGAGCTATCAAAATTCATGACTATTTCTACGCCTTCGTGCACGGGTACACTAATCGCTTCCGAAGAGTCCTTTGCCATCCAGTCAGTCGGACAAAGTTCCTTTGACTTACGGCGACTTGCCGAACACCACGACTTTGCGAGCACCATCTACGCCTTGACTGCGACAATAGTGCCGCATGAGGATCCGAGCGGCGAGAGCGAGACGCGATGAGAGTTTAATAATTATTATTCATAAGACTCTCCGGTGGGAGTCGGCCAGGCGTGAGACTAAGCAAGAAAGATGTGCTGCAAAACAAGAGAGGGTGCCATCGCTTCCTCGGGGGCTTGCTTATGTCCTCCTTATCCCTGGCGGAGAACCGGAGTATTCCACGATGGGAAGGGGGTGTGCTCGAGTCAGTCGAGCAGAAACCCAATCACTTCCGGCGTCTGCGCCCATTAGGGCGCCGCGACGCTGACGTCGGCTGACGTACGCCCTTCCTCTTCGCGTCCCACTCGCTCGTCGTCCTACACTCTCTCTCGCTCTTCCTATACCACTGTTTCTCCCTGCCTGTTCCTATCTCATACTGTATTGAACCCACCCTCTTGGACCTCGACCAACATCGAAACAGACCGCAGATCTATTGTTTGGAAAGCGCTCACATGGAAGCTTCTTCAATGCGACTAATGACGTATCAAGGATGCCGCTTCCTTCTTACCGGATTTTTCCGGTTTTGCTCGTTCATCTCTTGAACTAGTTGCCGTTCACTTTTTTTTTATTGTTACAAAGATAACGGATCGTATCAAGTAAAGCTCTCTTGATATAAGAGATAAACGGTTAAAATAACGGTGTAAAATACGGGAAAAATCCTCAAGATTCTCTTAAAAGGGCAATAAAATGACTTAATAAAAGATATCTTTTTATATACGGAATTTATAATATGTAAGAGAATCGAACGAAATAAGACTGTATTTTGTGTGTGTGTGTCTTGCATAAATATATCAAATAAATCGATTATTTTATTAATGTAATTCTTTTCATTTGTGTTTCAGGTTTATTAATGCGAGGCGTAGAATCGTTCAACCTATGATTGACCAGAGTAATCGAGCTGGTAAGACGATTCCAATTCTACCAATAGATATTTACACAGATGTATACACACAGTTATAATACTACAAACACAAGACGACAAGATTTTATGTACTTTATATACTTTTTTTTCGAGTTAGGCACTTGAATTTTATAAAATTTTAATTAATGTAGAAATTGTTATGTACACAATGATAAGACTTCTAATAAATTACTAAGTAATGTCAAAATGCTGTGTGATTTAAAAATAATTTCATGTTGTTAAAATGTTTCGAATATAATAAAATTTCAACTTTTAACTATGAAAATTTATTGTTATATTCAATATAACTTTATAGTGGAAATTTCAATTAGAAAATTTGATTTTTAAGCGTTGTAAATTCTACAACAAATAATAGAAAAATCTGATACATTAACACAATTTTCTATAAATCTAAAATCATGCTCAAAAAAAATTTATTTAAGAGTAATTTATCTAAATATATGTCCGTGAATCAACTTAATTCAATTTAGTTTATTTTTTGCAACTGCAAAAATAATATGTAATATTGTATGTTTGGATAAGGATATAAAGTCTATAATTTTCTAACTATGTAGCTAACTAGATATCAAAGCTGGCATGGAAATTTAATCAACAGTTGACGTTTCACGGATAGTGCATTTATTTGACGATTTAGTTAGCAATCCTGTGCATCCGTGTTGTCTTTAATTTCTGATATAACGGATACTCAATCTTTGCGCAATTTCAAATTCTTGAAATCATTCTTCAATAAACGACATTTCATTCGAATGAAATCTGTGGCGTCGTGTATATTTGTACATTCGCAATATCCGTCGTTTCAAATCAAGTTACTTCGCGATTCGATTATCGGTCATTCCACGCTCATGTTGAAAATTTGAAATTCACTTCTCTCTTGCGTGTCCGATAAATATGTTCGCTCACGACGATCGTTCTGTTTCGATTTAAAAAGTATTATTACAAAGTTCATTTTCACTTTGTGTAAATGGACGACAGCTTGCACAACTGCCAATGATTTTCAACAGAAAAAGAGGGATTTTCTTTTTATATCATTCTAATAGAAAATCTCTTACTGAAATCTTTTGTATATAAAGAGTATATAATATAAAGTAATCATTTATCTCAAAAATATACATATAAAATACTTTTGCTAAAAATATTTTTGAAATATCGATTTATCTATAAACTAAATGCATTAATTTAATACATATGTTTCTCATGCGCGAAAATAAAAACTTTTGCTTACTTTCGTGGGAATAGATCAATACGATAAAACTGAAAATTCGATATCAAGGAAAGGTATTCCTTTGTCGAGTAATCTGTAAAGACGACGCGTTTACGAGGAGGGAATCACTTCGTTTGCAGTAAAAGGCGACAACAACGGACCTTCGTGTTTAGGGTGGAATCATTTTCTCTCTTCCCGTCTCTTTCTTTCCTTCTATATCCTTTTCTCTTTCTCTTGCTTTCTCTTGGGTAGGGTTCAAGGGTTCCGTAGTGATTCGGATGATGGCGAGAGGGTTCTTTCGTGGAGTACAGGGTGGGCAGAGGTGGATAACGTCCCGGATAACGTTCGGATAACACTCGGATAACGGCGGGATAATTGGTAGCGGTGATCAGACCGAGTTTTACGATCAGGGAACATGCTCCCGCCGCCGCAGTGGAAACTCCTCTCATCCTCCTGGCCGTGCCCTGGCTTGTCTTTTTCTTACGTCCTTATCCGTGGTCGGCCGCGTCTTTGTCCCGCGTCGAGCGTCGCGGAAAAGATCGCCCGAGGAAAAGTTCGAGGGTGGGCTGACTAAACGGTCGAAACATAGAGAGAAAGAGAAAAAGAAAAGAAAGAGAGAGAGATTCACCTCGTATTTTTACGACTGGCCCCCTCATAAACACTCACTGAGTTACGGGTTGTTTGCTCTGCCGAAACTGGGCTTTAGGGGCGCTTTATCCGCCATTCACCATCTGAATGTATCCACGGAACTCGCTCTCTGGGATGGCAAGGAATTGCTCTCTTTTTCCCCGTACTTTTCTTCTCTTCTTCCGCTCTCTTTCTCGACGCACGCACTTTTCACAGGACTTCTGCAAATGATGGCCCGCAGTTCGTTCTCGAGCTTTTGTACGCGGATAGAAGATGTATCGTGCACCAAAGTGCACTAAACGTTCGAGTGCTTTGTGAAAATCTTTCCTGTGAGCGCCATAAATGTCTCCGCGCGCCAGGCTTTATTCAAACTCGCCAGCGTGTTATATCGATGTTGTAAGTCGGTCTATAGCGCAAGTCGATGGATCACGATAGTGTCGATTGTCGCATGAAATCTTTGCGGAAAACAAAAAATTCTTTTCTGACTAGATTTTAGAAGCTTCACTTCAATTCTTTCTGCATATATTAAATAATAAACTGACATTTATATCTTTTTATTTTCGTTAGTCAACAATGTTTTCTTTGCGACAAAGTCGGCGACATTGATAATCGCGAGGCATGTGTGTATTGCCAACGAATTCGAGCAGTGGCTAAAGAGATATTCGCGAGGCTGATGACGGGTAGGAAAGAGTAGGTGGACGAGAGGGGGATCTCGTGAGTATCAAGGGACAAGGATAACAAGAGAGAGAGAGAGAGAGAGAGAGAGAGAAGGAGAGGGGCTACCCAAACGTCGCCGTCCGCATCGGGTAAAGTGGAAACCCGTGTTTCGCCAGATTATCATCCCGAGTCAATCCTGATCACAGCTCCATCGTGCCACAAACAGGCGACCCACGACCTTTCCAGCCCTTCCGCTCGCCGATACCGTCGTCTCCGTTTTCTCGCACGCTCCCTCCACGACCAGGGAAACCAGTTTCGCCTAACCAGAAAGAGCACACCTTTCGCGCGCGATTGAAATCGATGACATTTCGCGAGAGCGTCCTGCCACATCGCGTCCTCTCGTTCCGCTCGATTATCGCGGTCAAAGAATGACACGCGAGATATTTTCGCATGGGCGGAAATGGACACGAAAAAAGAAGATGACAGAGAGAAAGAGAGAGAGAGCGAGGAAGAAAGAAAAGAATAGCTATATCGTGAACGTTCGAGTTCGTATACCTCGCGACTTCGACCATTTTTCCAATTCCTCGGAGACCGGGACAGTGTCCCTTCCCCACCTGCTCCTTTCCTGCTCTCCATCGACGATCAGCAGTCCATTAAAGCTTAATAGCCGAAGCATTAGGCCCCAGGGCAGATTTTGTTCCAGCGGAAACGAGATAAATGTATCTTTCAAACGCTCCCGGTCCCCCGTGATCGGTGACCGTACACGATAAAACCGTTACTCCTCCTTTGATCGCATTTTACACTATCGATCAAAATCAGTCTCAGACGTTTTAATTTCATCGATCGTTAAATATAAATTTCAAATTTCTTGATTCTTAATATCGAATCGAGTTGCATAATCAACTTGCAGTCTACAATGATTATTAAAATATTCTGCCGTTTATTCAAAAAACAAGGAGGTATTAATAGGTACATATCTCTTATGAGATGCTATAACATTTTATTTCTCTTCCTTATCGTATTCCTCATTTCTCCTAAGCGAATTCGTCCATTAATTACGCAGTAGTCCCACGAGCACACCACCGTCTGTCCGCACATAGTCTCGAATTGCATCGTGACTTTTCTCACGCGAGTCCCGCGAGAAATCGTATTAGGACGGAGTCACGTTAATTCAGAATGCGACTCAAGACGCCGACGACAACAAGGTGCACGACTCGCAGGCATGCATATCCTGGCTCGATGCGCTCCTCCGTGTCGAGTTAATGATGCGCGTCGGTCGGATCATCAATCATACTTTCATTACGCGGATCGCAGCTGCTCCATATTGACTTCACGGCCCGCGGGGCATTATTATTATTCCGAGACGAAAGAGGCTCTCTGCAGCAAGAATTTCTCGCGCGCGAGTAACGCGCTCCGCGCAGGAATTTTTGCTTATCGCCGATAACGGTTGCAAAAGCCATCGCAATCAATGAATTTATGTGATTCACCTCGCTCTCTCCTTAACGATCCGTATCTGCGATTCGCGAAGAATGCAACCGCGCGAATCTCTTCTCGACGTGCGTGGGTCGCGCGTGGTTGCTTGGTATTTCAATTTAATACTCGAGCTTGTCCCACATTTCGCAAACACATAAAGTATGCGAACGCCTGCGATTTTCGCTCTAACTCCCATTCCGATATTCCGACATCGATGAAAAATATATCGCTGACACCTTGAATTGTTGATAATAACTTATACGATAATCAGTACTCGCGTAGAGGCTACAAGTAACCAAATCCTTGATTTACATATTTTATCTCATGATGCAGGGTGCAATTTTTCTACGATGTATCAGAACGAGAAATTATACTAAAGATTAATGTTGTTTGTCCCCTCTTGATCTGCGTGCGAAATAGAATATATATTTGAGAGTAAATCTGTCTCTGGAATACATCGAAAATATCGCGTCATTCAATTTAGTATTCTAATCAGTCGCGATTCTTTCCAACAAGTCACATTTAAAGTTCTTTTAATGGCGGATATCTAAATGGAGTTAGACGATTATCTTTTGTAGTAACGAGATTCGCTGAAATTAGTATAAAATTAGTTTTGCGCGCATGTACACGGGCAGTAAACCTTCGCAGGCCACGTCGTCGTCGTTCCTAATGCGTCTCATAAAAGCGCGATCCCTTTTAAATCCACCCTCCCCCCATTCAATCATACACGGCCGTGTGTCGCGTAGGCACTATAAACTATAAATCCGCGGCGCATCGTTTTACGACGTACAAGCTGTCCCTCTCGCGCGAGATTCTATTAGGTTTATATCGCGCGGAGAGAACTTGTATCACGAAGTTGTGCTCCAAGGAAAGATACACTCGGGTAATACACTTCCGAGAGCGTAGAGAGGATACAGTGCAGGATAATGTATTATCACTGGCATCTCGTAATGAAAATAATTTAATTGAAGAAGTACCGGGTGTGTATAACTTGCCTTATGCATACATTATACGAGATCAC